TGCTTGGCACCACCATCGCATCCTTATCCGAAGGGCCACTGTTCTTGCTGGCAGAACCCGAGATCTGCTTTGCCTCCATCTGCACCGGCACGTCCGGGGCAGCCACCTAGGCCAGCCAGTAAAGTGTAGTATGAGTAGTATCGTAGTAGTAGTCGTCCAGAAAAATTTAACAAATATAGCTGCAGCAGTATTAGTAGTAGTAGCAGTAGTAGACGTAGTAGTAGTAGTAGTAGTAGTAGTAGTAGTAGTAGTAGTAGCTACTACTAGTAAGTAGTTGTAGTATGCCAGTAGTAGTAGACGTAGTATAGGTAGTAATACTAGTATAGCTAGTCGTAGTAGTCGTAGATATATACACTAGTGTACTACTTTATACCACTATACGACTATAGCACTATATATAGTACTACTACCACTTCTCCTACTTATACTTCTTCTTCAGCTACTACTACTACTACTACTACTACTACTACTACTACTATATACTACTACTATATACTACTACTACTACTACTACTACTGTAGCTACTATTACTATACTGCTACTACTACTACTAATAATAATAATACTACGACTACTGCCACCATACTATACTTATACTATACTTTATATGAATGCCCCTTGATTCCCTGGACATATCCGTCCCTTATACACTACCATATAGCTTTATTCTCCATCTCAGGCTGGTTGCTTCTCCGGGGCCGGTCGTCGCGGATCCAGCAGAAGTCTCCTGGAGGATTGGGTGGCTAGATAACCCTTCATAATATAAGTTTTGGGGGTTTAGGGTTTGTTGTGTTTAGGGGTTCAGGATTTTGGGAAAATTATGCCTAGACCGATAAATATTGATTAGCGATTGCTCCTCAGGTTCCGTCAATGTCATCTGGGTCTGGAGATCTTTACAGACCTCCAGGATGTCAGGGTCGTCGGGCACGGTATCCAAGAAAGGCTCCGAAGCGCCCTTGTTCAACATAGCCACCTCCCGAGCCTGACAAGCTTATTAAAATATGATATATATGATGATCTAGCTTAGCACTAGTGGGATACCTCCTGTGGTATATTCTCTGTAAGCAGTATACTTAAGGGTTAGGTGGGCTCCAAGCTGCTATATTGATTAAGTCGCGATGTTTGGACTAGTAGGGTCATGCAACTTCAGATGCCCAGCCTGCCGGACCACAGCTGGGGTGGCAATCTCGGATCCCAGGGATCCAGTACTCAAACCTTTGGAGATACCTGGGCACAAGTAGCTAGCTACATTCAAACACGGTGCACATTTGCACATGACGGATCCCAGAGGTATCATGACCAGTTCAAGGAACCCTCATCAAACAGTGTCTTCTTCGGGGTCATGGTAACATCCTCTGTCTTGATCTGCTTGGCATCCGGGGTTTTGGTACTGGGGGTCACCGTGTTGGCAGGGCTGCTTCTGGGCTCGCGTGCTCGCTTTCCCGTTGGGTCCTTCATTGGGGTTGCCATCGGCGGGTCCTTTGCCTTGGCCGGCGAGGCTGCTGGAACCGCAGCTTTCGCCGATTGCTGCAGCAGAAGCTTGGCTGCAGCCTGGCGCCGCTGTCCAGCTGCCAAGGCAGCCCGAGCCACCTGCTCTGCTGTCGTTTATTATATATTTATAGTCCATGGGCCTTACAACATTAGGCCTCGTCGAGCTCTTGCGAAGCATCGGACATCGCGAGATCTAGGCCAAACGTGCTTGAAGCCAAAGCCTCGAGGCAGGGCCTCCCACGTCACGCGAAATCACGCGGAATCACGCGGGACATTCTGGGATTCTATATAATTATAAGAGGAGCCAATTCGTGAAATCACGCGTTTTCACGCTCCTTCACGGCGCCCCTGGCCCACCCAAGACACATCATACCACACAAAAACCCTCCTATCGAGCTGCATTTCTGAGGAACGCCTCGCGTCCCTGCTGCCGCGCTGTCCACTGGGGCTTGGCTGTTTGGGCGTAGCGTTTAGGGTTTGGGGTTTAGGGTTACGTATACATGCTAGGATAGGGATGGCCATGGGTATGAAGACATATGGAATCGGCTGTGGTCTCGAATTGTGATTATATTTACACACATATCTTAAATCAGGGGTTTGGTTTTGAGGACATCATGTGTTTAATTGGGGAAACCTATGGTTTTGCAGGCGGAGGTTCAAATACTGTTGTTTAGGGGTAGGGCTATCTAGTCATGCAGATCAGGGAGTTCAAGGATGGCTGCACAATCTGTGGTGCTGTCTACTGCAGTGATCATGATCATAGACCAAACAACGATATGTTGATCTTCGTGGGGTGTGGGGTTGGATGCATAGGGTTGAAGCTTTGTGAGGGTCCCGGATTTTAGCATCGAATATGTTGCAGGGAATTCTAGCAATCCGAAGCTACAAGCTATATATATATATATATAACACATAAACCCACTACATATATTGATATATGTATATATATATA